CCTCGCTACAAAGTATTGTGGACATCTGTCCTAGTAGGAATACAAAATTTTCCGAAGCCACAAATTTAAACAAATACTTTTTTAAAGTTTAGATGCGTCATGTTTGTGTTAAAATTCAGTATATATTTATTATTTCAGTCTATACACAAACTTAGTTTTTAAAATGTTGTTGTTAAAATTTTGTATCAGACAGCGGGTCTTGAATTGTTACACTTGTGTTGCGTTGTGTTCCGGTGGTATGTTGCGAACTGTAATCTGGTAAAAAAAAAACTTTCGAAAAAGAATTTAACTTTAAGAAATCTTGTCTTTTACAGAAATTTCATTCATTTTTAAGGCGGTGAGGCATACCGAGTAAAGAATAATAATAAAAATCGACGTCCGTTCAAAACGTTCAACGATTCATTTCAATCCCCCCCCCGCTTAATACGTGCTTTAACTATAATTCGGATTAAGGGCACTCCTGCCCCATATTTTCTTACAAGTTACATTACAAAGCAGCCGAATGTCACAGAACCATCTCTGAATTAGGAGTGTAAAAATACTAAAATACCCCCAACTGTCAAGAACCTAACAATTAAAAAATTATTTTAGAAGATGTATTTGTTACTAATAGAGTCAAAGAATATATACTCATAAACAAATCAGTCGGCATAAACATGCGTGCGTAACAGACCCACAAAGGAACAAAATTTATATATTTTAAAAAAAACAGCATGAGTTCAAAAGATGTGAAATTTAGTTTAACGTTGATAAGTATATATTAAATCTTGTCCGTCTAATCACAATAAATTCTTATGAAATATTAAAATATTACAATAATTAACATTTTAAAATATTTAAAATATTAAATGATGTTCTTTATCGAAATATTCGATTTACATTAGAGCATCATTTTTCATGTTTCACGACATGTTTCAGTTCCTAAAAGAACCATCCTCAGGTGTATATAATTATATAAAGCTTCAAAACGATAAATAATTCAAATACAATTTTCATACATTATGCTAGCGTGCATTTTTATTAGATTTTTACCAGATATCAAACGATGTTTTTTTTCAGATTTTTATTCCATTGATACTTATATTTTTTTTTACAATTTACCGAAATATGATCTGCCTCTTAGTTCAACGACACGATTCCATCTGAATCATTTACATAACATCGAATGGCAGAATCATTGCATCTCAAAAATTAGAAAGAATCCGGCCGTAGTTTAAGGTACTATCCCAAAAATGTGCCTGAAGAGAACTTTGATAAGTACAGGACGTCTCAGTGAGACTAAACAGTCTCTGGGTGATACTCGAACCTCAAGCTTAAAAAAAGCTCTGATCGTTCAACCACGTCTTGAGGTAAAAGTGAAATTTATCTAAGACTTTTTAGAACAGAAACATTCTCCCGCATTGTCCAATGACCTCATTTCAATACTTCAAAACTCTCCTTAAAAAGAAATTAAGGCAAACGTTTCTTTGTATAAGAAACAAAGAACATTTCAACTTGTTAAAGCAAATGTTTTACCACAACACGTGTCATATATACTGTTTCCATTGCAGATAAAAGAGAACTGAAGTTGTTTAAATTTATATATGTATAAAAATATATATATATTTTTTTTTGTATCTTATATGCGTCATGTTTGTGTTTGATTAAATATATTTATTTTGTACAGTCTATACACAAACGTTTGAAGTATAATAATATATTATAATATAATATATTGCATCAAATATCTAATAGTTTTTAAAATATTTAAATTGATAAAAACCTGAAGACGACGGTATTACCCGTCGAAACATGTCGTTTTAATAAAAGCGCTAAAAAATATAATGTAAAATCGTATTTACGATTAAGAGCGCTAATATAATATTTTACACAATAAAATGTTTTAATATTATATAATTTTTATAACACCAATAAACTTCAAACGTTTGTGTATAGACTGTACAAAATAAATATATATAAAAATATATGTTTGACGTTTTTAATTTCAGCTTGTCGCTTATAAGGAGATATTAAGAAAAAATCTCACATAATCTCATTATGCTTTTCCTGTATAGATTATACTTTAACCAGACTAATGTTTGTAATATCTGGTACGAATGTCATGATAATGTAGATTATTATCACGTTTTCAATTTGCAAGTAAAATAATGTTATCATTATGCCTAAACATTAAAACCATAAAAAAAGTACATTGGATGGTATCTCCTTTAGCATAAGTTTATAAAAGTTTCTGAAATTTTCCTCGTGAAAATATACAATTCAGTTTAAAATTCTTGTTTGTTTTTAGATGATGAACAGATGTTGGTAATACGAAATTTGATGGGACAGACCTCAATCTATTTACAAATTTTGATAGTAACTAAACTGCGTTGTGGAAATGGTTTGAAAGTTACACGTAAACGTATTCACG